ATGCAGAAAGGCCTGTCAGAGAGAGTCCAGAGGCAGCCAATGGAATATAACCAACTAAAGAAGATAAAGCTTTTCTTAAATTGCAACCAAAGGCCATAAAAAGACATAAACAAATGACAAAATCCTGGATTCCATGGTGAACAGTAAATCTAAAAAAAATAAATAAACAGAGCCTATCCAACTACACATTTCATATATTTGTTAGAGATGTTGCCAAAAAAGAAATTGTAAAGGGAAACGGTTTTCTCTTGGGTGAGCTAGCCAAAGCTTGTAGGGTGGAAAGAGAAAGAAGAGGGGGAGGTGAGGCTCGGGACAGCCAAGTGATAGAGAGACTGCGGGCAGGCTGACCTGGCTTCTCATCCCGCTGCTCGTGTGAGCCCTCGGGCTTGGGGCACTACCCTTAACCTTGCCAGGCCTCACTGTTGTCATCTATAAAATGATAAAAATAAGTTTCTCCTTTATAGTGTCGTCATGAGAACTACATTAAATAATCCTTAATGTGGGGTTCATGATAAGCATCAATAAGTGGTAGCCATAACCAAAAGTATTATCAGGTGCCTGATTTGATTGTTGAGACTCAAATATGTGAGTTTCTTGCTGTCCTATACCTAATTTTACCAACATTTTTAAGGGTTTGTTGTGTAAAAAAAAAAAAAAAAAAAAAAAAGTGGGGAGATTTATTCTAGATTAATAATCTTCAAGTATATTTGCTCTCTCCTATTCCCTTACAGGAAACTGAAAAGATACAGATCCTGTGATAGCAAATGCTAGGTATCAAATGTTCATTCTGGATTGAGTTATCATTGTGATTATCATTTGTACATAACTGATCAAAATAACATAAAATACACTTTACATCGCTATGATTATTAAACACATTAATAAAAAGTAAAAATTTTGCCAGGTACATTCGTGCAGGCCTGTAATTTCAGCAGCTTGGGAGGCTGAAGCCGGAGGATTGCAAGTTCAAAGCCAGGCTCAGCAACTTAGAAGCCCTAAGCAACTTGGTAAGACCCTGTCTCAAAATGAAAAATTAAAAGGGCTGGGAATGGGCTGAAGTTGTGGCTCAGTGGTAGAGCACTTGCATAGCATGTGTGAGGCCCTGGCTTTGAGTCTCAGCACCACATATAAATAAATAAAATAAGGGTCCATTTACAACTAAAATATATATGTATATACATGACTGTATGACCAATGTGATTCTGCAACCTGTACACTCAGAATAATGAGAAATTATACCCCATTTGATTCAAATGTATGATATGTCAAGATCATTGTACTGTCATGTGTAACTAATTAAAACAAATTTTTTAAAAAAGGGCTGGGGAGGTGGCTCAATGGTACAGTGCCCCTAGGTTCAATCCTGGGTATGTCCCCCTAAATTAAAATTTTAACATAAAATCTCCTTTTTTTTTTTTTTTTTTTGTATTGAGGAATGAATCCAGGCATGCTTAATCACTGAGCCACATCCCCACCTCTTTTTAAAAAAAATTTAATTTTGAGACAGGGTCTCGCTAAGTTGCTGAAACTGGCTTTGAACTCTGAATCCTCCTGCTTCAGCCTCCCAAATCACTGGGATTATGGGCGTGGGCCACTACACCCAGCTAACAGAAAATCTCTTAATGAGAAGGAAGAACTTTCTTTTTAATCCTTTTTTTTTTATCCTCCAACAAGTTCCTATATCCATTAATAATTATAATTTCTTCCTAAGATGACAGGATTCAATATGGGAAAAAAAGAGACAAGGCTCAGCATCAATATGAACTCTATTTTTGGCTTTAGATGCAAGCACTGCAGCTGCCAAGGTTCAGTTAATCTCCTCAGTGAGGTCTTGCCTGGTGAGCAGCTTACCCCACCTGATCACCCTCTGACCTTTTATCTGGACATCACCTTAACCCCTGTTACTAATTACAGGGCTGGGGATGGATCTGGGCCTCATATATGCTAGGCAAGCACTCTACCTCTGAGTACTCCCAGTCCATCTCTGGGTCCTCTGGGATTGTTTGTCTCCCCTAGAATATCAGTTCTATGAAGAGGGACCTTGCCTGTCTTGCTCCTTATTGAAACGTGGAAGGTACTGTGATAGAAATGTTTGCTGAATGTATGAATGCTGTTAGTCTGAGGATAATTCTAGCCAACATTTATAGAGCAGCCAGTTCAAAAGGACCCTTTCCCCTATTATTATCAGACCTAGGCTCTCCAAGGAGGCCATGACAGAGAAATCTCCATGTGGGCAGGGGAGCCCACTCTTGTGTCTTGAGATTCACATTGTAATTCAGCTGCTATTTGGCTAGAACAATTAGACCAGGTTCATAATAACATAAGGAAAATAAACACATAGGTAACATGCAACTGGATACCCTCAGATCTTTTCAGCCTGGGTTGCTGCCAGTGGTTGGAAATATGCAAAGATTTTTTTTCAAAGAGTTTTAATATTTTTTTAGTTGTCAATGGACCTTTATTTTATTTATTGATATGTGGTGCTAAGAATTGAACCCAGTGCCTCACACATGCAAGGTAAGTGCTCTGCCACTGAGCCACAACCCCCAAACATTTGCATTTGGCTGGTTTTCTGCAGGCATGCTAGCACACTGCAATGTGCAGGACAGTTCCATCCAAGACACAGACACGGTCCTTTTGAGAAATTATGCGGCTCTAAGCTCACCCAGCACTTGCCTCTGCTCAGCAAATTGGCTCCATATACCCTGTCTAAACCCTTTTTTTTCTTTTCTTTTTTTTTTTTTTTTTTTGGTACCAGGGATTGAACCACTGAGCCACATCCCCAGCCTTTTTAAAAAATATTTTATTAAAGATAGGATCTCGCTGAGTTGCTTAGGGCCTTGCTAAATTGCTGAAGCTGGGTTTAAACTCATGATCCTCCTGTCTCAGCCTCCCAAGTCACTGGGATTACAGGTGTGCCCCACTGTGCCCAGCTTCTGAACTACTTTTAAGCTTGGGTTTTCTTACCACTTATCTCTTTCTAAACAACCATCAGAAAGAATGTCCACCCTGCCTCAGTCTACCCCACCCCGGACCCTACTCAACAGTACAACGTGGCAGGACTTAATGCCAATATCCTCAAATATGGCCCCTTGGCATACTGTATATCTTAAGCTGCAGGAAATCTGAGAAAACTGCACAAGCTCACTCACTGTCCTCCCACCTTTCTTCCCTGAATCAATCTGTAAAGAATTCTTTGACCTAACTTCCTGAAAAATAGGTCATAAGACCTTTATTTCAGAGGGGTCCTGCCTTGTAATCAGAAGCAAAAAGAATTTTGTCCTCTGGTTATACTCTGTCCAACTATACATTAAAATCAATTTTTCCTGGGTATTTGGGTCTTCATTTCTGAAGTCTCCTGTATCATACAAACTTGTAGTCAATAAATTTTTTTTCTTATTAATCTGTCTTTGCTATAAGAGTGTCAGCCATGATGTTGAGATAAGTTAGGAAAAGATATTACTTTTTCTCTTCTATATATAGGTGGTCTATCTTCCCAAAGGAGATACAGATATGGCTTTTAAAAATTAATATTACACTGGAGTGAAGGTGGGTTGAAGCAGTAGGGAGAAGGGAAGAATCTAGGTTGATCCAGGATAGGCCAATGTAGTATGATGATATATTAAGTAGACTTAAAGTATCTGCTATCCTATAACCAAATGCATATTAGTTATTTCGACCCCTGGGAGCATTCATTCATCCTATACTTTCGCAAAAAGCTACCAGAATCTTGCTGTGTGAGTCATCTTTTCCTATCTGTGGCAAAATGTTTGTTTTCAGAGGTTGGTCAATGGTTAGTTGATCCAGTTGCCTTTGGGCCCATACCTGTAGCATGGTATGGTCACCATGGGTTGGACCTCTCAGATTCCTATTGGAGGAGCTATTCATCTCACAGCAGCCAGGAAGGAGAGAGAGAGAGAGAGAGAGAGAGAGAGAGAGAGAGAGAGAGAGAGAGAGAGAGAGAGATGGATGCAGCTGATGCCACACTATCCTCTTTTAAGAGAATTGCCCCAAATGACCTAACTTCTTTTCATTAGACCTCCACTTCCTAAAGCCTTCACAACCTCCCATTATGGGCTGGCAACCAAACTATCTAGCTATTTTCATACATGAGCCTTTGGGGGCTACTTACCCAAAGCATGGTACTTGCAAAGACTAGGAACATGAGATAACCAGAATAAAACTATGGACTGGGGCTGGGAGTGTAGTTCAGTGGTAACGCCCAGGTAATGTCACCTCCAAGGTTTAATATATTTCAGCAGAGCCCACATTCTATCTCTCCTGACAATAAAACACTTTATTGAGCACCCACTATGCATTCAATAAATGGATGCTGAAGACTGTATTACAACATATGTATTCGGACATTTTAAACTTATCAAACAGTTCCTACTCACTAGCATTTACATTATTAAACTTTCACTAAAATTGAAAAATGTGATGTTAACAACTTGAAAAGCCTCTGATCATCATTAATCAAGTTTTTTTTTTTTTTTTTTTTTTTAAGCTGCATTATTCAACTTGCTCCAGCTGCTAACATTGAGGACGGGGAGAAAATAGAAACACGAATCACTTGTTAGCATGTCCCCTTAGTTGTGGGAAACATATCAACAATTTTTGTTGTTGTTGTTTTCCTTTTCTTTCTTTTCCTTTAAGATTGTATAACAAGCGGGGATTGTCCCAGGATCTCCCGGCTTCATAGAATGGCAGAGAATTGGAGAACTTTCCAAGAGGCTCTCGCCAAAGCACCAAGATGCAGGATTTGGGAGTTCTCTCGGGTTTTAACCGTCGAGATGGGATAAATTCGAGCAGACTGGCGTACTGTTTATCTTAAACTGCAACGTTTCCCCTGGGCGGGGCCCCGCCGGAGCCCGAGGGCTGCTCGGCGGGGACCGGTTGGCTCGGGCCGACCCACCGCTTTCCAGCAGGAAGAGGCGGAGCGCGAGGGCGGCGTTGGGGGGAAAGTGCGCGCAGAAARGGCTCTTGTTTTGGCGCCCACGTTTCCCGCCGCAGTCCGCGTCTCCAGCCTTCACCATGCCTGCCGCCGGCTCTGAGTTGCTATGCACGCTGTCGCCGACAGCCGCACAGGAGCTGGGCGCAGAGCAGCCACCGCAGCACGGGGAGCTGCAGTACCTGGGGCAGATCAAGCACATCCTGCGCTGCGGCTTCAGGAAGGAGGACCGCACCGGCACCGGCACCCTGTCGGTTTTTGGCATGCAGGCACGCTACAGCCTGAGAGGTGACCGCGGCTGGGTCCCCTCTGGGAGGGAGGAAGGGCTTCCGCAGGCTCCGCGCTGCGGCTGCTGGGAGCGCGCGGGAGACGCCGAGAGCGCAGGCTACAGGGAGGCAGGGGACGCCTCGGTGTCCCGGCTTTGCAGACCCTGAAACAGGCTCTGATTAGAGAAATGATGCACATAGGGTCACACAGATGGGACTGGCAGAGCTGAAAGGTGAACCAGATCCTAATGGCTCCGCGGCTTAGCCTACCTCGCCTCCTGCTGGCATGGTGCAGCAGTGCTCGCCCCGTGCTACGCAGTGAGAGATCTGCCTGGGCACGTCCTGGGTTTGCCCCCTCCTCTTTTCTCCGCGGTTGGTTGTTACGCTTTGCAAAAGTTGAAAAGAGGAGGGAAAATGATAGGGGCGGAGCGGCAAAGGCGGAAGAGAACCGAGGAGCTGGCGGGAACTTGTTCCTGACCGTTTCGCTCCAACCCGCTTTCCTCTTAAACCTGCCAAGAAACGGAGAGTCCTCAAAGGTCTTACTCCACCCTCCCAGGATGGCTCCAGGGAAGAAGTGCCCCTTACGGGTTGTTTGCATCAGGCTTTCTGGAGACTAAGGACTGGCTGGGGGAGGGCACAGAACGTTAGGCAGCAGATGCGGCTTCTTAACGTCTGACCCGCAGGTGATCCTGGATTGAACATCCGTTGTGCGGGGCAGGGGACTCCTCCAAGGTGTTTAAGCCAGACGATAACATTGACTTCCACAATAAAGAAAGAGCATCCTTGACCCAGGCGTGCGGAGTGGTTTTGAGAGGCGAGACTCTTCATTGTAGTTAGGAGGAAAAACCTCGCACCCTACATCCATTCAGACACTGCACACTACCAACTGCCAAGGCAGATGTGCCCAGGACAGCTTAGGGGTTTCCTCTGAGCAGAGCAATTCACTTTATGTTGCTCTGAGAACAGTAGACTCTGATGAACCACAGACCTGGACCTCTCCCCCCACACCCCAGGCCCCATTGAGGATTGAACCCAGGGACTCTCCACAACCCASTGGAGCTATATCTCCAAGTCCTTTTCATTTTTTTATTTTAAGACAGGATCTTATTAGGTTGCCAAAGCTGATGGTTTCCCACCAACCAGCTTTCCTTTTGCAAGAACTTTCAATCCTCCTCCCTCAGCTTTCCCAGTCTCAGGGATTTCAAGGCCAGCCCCACTACACCCAGCCATAGACTTGTTTTTAAATTCACTTCCTCTGCTTAGAATTTGGACAAGTGACTTTGCCTCTCTAGTCTTCAGTCCCAAATGTTAAAAGATTGAGGAAATAATGCTCAGTAGGGAATATTGATAAAAAAGCAGGTGCTTGAAAAAAAAAAAAAAAACCCTGTTTCATGAATATCAACTATGCAAACAGTAATGTGGCCTYGATTAGTGCTGCATTTGGGGATAAACGTTTACTCTTGCTTGTTGCCTCCCTCCCATTGGTGCCTGTAAAATGAAGATCATAAAGAATCCTCAAGGAGGTTTGATCTAAGGATCAACTAGGATCATGAATAAAAGTGAACAGTTGCTGGCTCTGGTACACTAAAATAATTGATRTTGATTTGCTTTACAAATATTGAAAAACTATTCTGAAGTTTTCACCAGTGTGACATCTGTTCCCCTGCACTGAGTTAAGTTTACTCTTGACAGTGGTGGAATTGCTTGTGTCCTGGGAAACATTTTGAGTGTTGCCTTCACACCTGTGTGACAGGATTCACAAGGACTGGGTAGTGGGTGATAGCTCTTTCCCTTTTCCACAGGGGCATCCTCCATGTCTTTGTGTGGAACTGC